CTACCCTGTTGAAGTAAATGTCTAGATGACATTTAAAGCACTTGACAGTACAGTTTTCATTCACATTCACACATTCATTCATACAGTGCATCAATGGGCAGCACTTTTTCTATGAGAACGGCAATTCAAGGTTCAGTATCTTGCCCAAGGGCACTTCAGCATGCGGATGGGGTCAAATCTACCTCATCAACAACAGCCGCCCAGAATCAAAGAGCTACCACGTCACAGCAAAAAGTAACAGAGGGAATGTCACCATTTAAAATATCAAATTTTTTAAAACAAGACGTTTAAAACAGAAGAACTGAAGAAAATCAACATCTGCTAGTATCTGAAATGTGCCTCTTCAGCATGGGACCATAACAGAACCTCAACTACATCTGTTTGCGTATTGCTATTTGAAATCATATTTGAATAACAATATCTAGGTCACTTTATGCAAGAACTAAAATCATGAATGTTGTCAAAATAAACATCCACACTTAAACGTATGGCAATATTTACAACCTGACAAACTTTTATGAAAAACCCTTTCGATTCTTTTGATCAGTGGATCCTTACCGGAATATAAATAATCGAGGAATGGACAGACAAGCAAACTGTAAGACTGCTTCCCAGGTACGAAGTCACCATTGTTTTGCTTTCTTCACAAAATCTGAGTGAATTATAGGTTTTGGACAACTTTTGTTTTCTGTAAAATGTACTGAATGGTTGATTTGTGGAGAATCTAATCAAGCTATAGTGTAGCAACAATAAACCACACATAAAAATGAACAACTCCAAACAGAAGTGGCCAAACTACAGCCAAAGGTACATGGTCATTGGCCATATCCACAAGAGGAAGGTTACATGTTCATGTGACTCATTACTTCCGAGTTGCCATGATGAACAGTGTAAACAACAGATCACACAGGCAGTTATGTGTTCAGGTTATTCAAATAAATATGATTTAGTGTGTACAATATTAGAACAAAATTAACAAAAATAATAAAGAACATAAAACAGGACCCCTCTACAATCTGGGTCATACAGATAAGCTAATATCACAGGACTGGTTTTAGTTGATATTGTACTTGAGCAATCTCCATTTCATCATATTACCAAAACCAACTCACATCATTTACATAGATCTGGAGATCTGTTGTTAGAGGCAGCCGTATTAATGATAGCATAGACCAAGATTTTTATCCTCTGACCTCCAAATTAAAGGTGCCAGAGACTTGTTACCCCATTATCCCTGTAGTTGGCTGTAGAATACAAAAAACATTTGACCTAGTTTGCAAAAACAAATTCCCAACTTGCACATGTCTCAATGTTTCCTGTAGTCCTGTACATTGTCCTGCTGCAACAGTCACAGTCAGAATAACCTTAGGGGTCATGTAGGGACAAAGAAAATCTGACAACTACTATTTTGTATCTTTTGTAAAAAATTATGGATAAAATATGCTTTTATTATTACTGTTAAATTTTATTTTATTTCTGGAAATCATCTTGAGAGCCCACCGAACCCTACGCCTGGTTTTGGAACAACTGGTAGTAATGAAAGATGTGGCTGTGGCAACAGTTCTAGTAATAAACTTTGTAGCAAAAATATTTATTAGTTAAAGCAGTGCTAAATATGGCTTCCACCGTAGCATAACTTAAACAGAACAAAGAGTAGTAGTAGCAGAACTAGTGACAGTAGCACAAGATGTAGTAATAATAACAGTAATAACAGAGGCTGGCAGGATAGGTTTTGAAATAGTAGGGCTAAAAGCAGAATTTTACAAGGAGAGGTAGCAGTGCCAGCAGCACTTAAGCTATCATATCATCAGCAGTGTGTTGAATTGCAGTAATATTTTACAGATTAAGTTCTGGGGAAACCAGAATATTTGAATGTGGTGCCATTATTTTGCATGATACTGGTCAACTTTAAGAATAAATGCTGAGGGTAATGCACATGAACAGCTTTACATTAGAATAATGGCAGTGGCAATCAAAAACCAGCACCAGCTGAAAAGCGATCCTCACTCTGTACTCCACCTCGTCTCATATCTCACTTAAAGGTCCAGTGTGTAAGATTTAGGTGAAAGGGATCTAGTGAGAGAAATTTAATGTAGAATAATCCTCATGATGTTCTCACCAGTTCTTTTCATCTATATTGTATGCATTGTAGTTTTCTTTACCCCAGAAAAGGCCCTTTATATTCAAATACTTTATATTTACATCGAGGGGGCCGTCTCTACGAAGGCCGCCATGTTTTTTACATTAGTCCAGACTGGACAAACTAAACACAAACTTATGACAACTGAAGTCTACCACAGGTTATTTTTCATGTTTGGAAGGAGAGGGTGAGGTGAGGGGTGTTCAGCTGCAACATGCAACTTCAACACTAGATATCACTAAATTCTACACACTGTACCTTTAAGAGCTGTCTCACTTCCTTTAATCTACACCCAATGGATTTAGATCTGCATATGGGCACAAATAGTTGTGTTTGTTCAAACTTTCGCTAGTGTTAAGAGACAAAATCTTAACAATCACATGTTCTGTGCACACATACACACAGCATAGCCTACTGTCGGGAGACAAGCTGGCTAACATACTGCAGAAAGAATAAATCTAACACAGGTTCTTTCAAACAGTTAATTGCACACATGTTAATTCAAATCCCAGTTCAACAGGCCTGGTGCAGTTGGTGTAACTCAGCTCTCCACCCCTTGTCTACCTGCTCCACATTTTCATCCATGATTCATATTACTGCCGGCCCCGCTCTGCACAATGGCAGCAGCATGAGCTCATACTTATTGTAGATGATAAGATAAGACATAGGTCGTTAAAATGTTTTCTTGCACTATCGAATCAACACAGTGTCATTGATAATTAGTTAACAGGGCTATATGATGGCTTCCTTTCCCTACAGGCAGGACTCTTCCCTGACGGAGCGAATGTAACAACAGAAGCACAGACTGAGCAGTTTTACCTGAGAGAGGGACAGAGGAGAAAACATCATTTTGATGAGGCGGAGCAGCGTCAGACCAGGCTCTGTGTTAACATAAACATCCCTGGGCTGAACACCTTCATTTCCATCGCGTCGTCATTTCTTTTTATTAGTGCGGATTTCTGCATGCTCTTCCCCCGCTCGTTCACTTCAGCAGTGCTACCTCCGGGTTAGAGAAAACGCTGCATTTCCTGGGCTGTAACTGAGTTTTTTTTTAAGAATCCAGAGAGGAGCGGGCTCTGGTCGCCTCGGATGACTCCGCCGCGTTAACTCCAGAAATGATGACACGCCAGAAAAGTTGAGGCCCCGTAAAAATGCCTCGCGGGGAGAAAAACAGAGGGAAAGTTCCGAATAATCATTCTTCGGAGAATATGGCCGGAGGTGTAACGGAGCACGGGGGCTGTCTCATTTAGAGAGGGACGGTGATGAGGGGGCGAAGAATAAAAGAGAAAAGTGAAATGACGTTATGAATTCAGCCCATCCCAGGCGGAGGGCTTAAAGCCGCAGCAGCTGCTGCTCTGTGCTCCCTCTGCACAGCGGCCTCACAACACACTCTACAGGTCAGCTCAGGACCAGCTCCCAGCCAGCACACTGCTGTCAGCACACACTGACCGGCCTCTGCTGCTACTCACACTGTTCACACAGCAACCTTCAACCTGCAAGTACACAGTACACATACAACATGCACACAATACACACAGTACACTTATAACATCCATACAGTGCACACAGTACACATACAACATGCA